ATAAATGCGATATTTGAAATTTAGTTATTTTCTGCAAATCTTATTAGTTAAATCGGGTACGAAAGAATATGACGTTGTAATCCGGGTTAACGGAACTCGGGGCGTTACAACGCCCACGTCTGCATCCTTTTTGATTCAATTTAAAACTAACTTTTGTATTATTAGTACCACTAGCAACATCATTAATCATAAGCTTTTTGTATTTATATGTAACTAATGTTTGGATTCTCATTTACTATTTTTCTAACTTTCCCTCCAAATTCATACGTAGGAACTGGGATTAATTCTTTCTTTTTGCCAAATTTAACGAGTTAAAAAGAAAAAAAATGGAGAGTTTCTAAGGAAATTATTTTTCAACTCATTTGCAATCAAGATACTGTTATTTTCATTTTTGAAAATGAAAATTACATGATGAAGAAGAGCCTTCTGAATTCTTCTTTAGAAAAATGATGAAGCTAAAACAAAGATTTCCAAATAACAGTGAATTTAAGAGCACCAAAGGAATATATCAACTTACAAGCATTTGGTAACTCAGCATATTCAGCACTTTTAGCTTCATCCAGCAGCAAAACTCTTGGGTCTATCAAGAGCATGTTAGGCTAAGCTTACAAAAAAAAAAAAGAACTTTATTGAAAAGAATGTAAGAGACATAAAAAAGGGTAAGCCTCTGTTTGTTCCAACTTCTTTTCCCATTAATAGAAAAAATAGGACCATTTTTTTCAAAGTTGATGGGTCCCAACAAGACACAAATTGTCAAAAATGGTAGGTAGGGCCACTGTTCCAATGGTTCTTTTTCTTCTACTAATGAGCAACAAACAGAGGATAAGTCTTTTTCAACAACAAATCTCAAAAAAGGCAAAAGTTACTTAAACGTAACTTTCATAAGAAATAAGACTAAGGTTCCCAGGTAAGAGAAAATATGAACTACAAAGCAAGAGAAAAGGAGACATGATAAATGTGGAGATTCCAACTTACAGTTGCAGTTTATAGACAGCATTGAACTGCCTTTTTTGGGTAAATATTTCCAGCAAAGGAATTGTTGAAGAAAAAAAAAATTCACTTCATTTGATCATAAAATCTCTCAATCAAGTCAGATATTGTTGTCTGCAATCATAAAAATTAACTTATTGACAATAATCACATAAGTTGCGTTGACACGGAAATAAACAAAAATGGATGGGAAAAAATATTTGCTAGAATACTTCTAAGAAAAATTCATGGGCCCTCTACGTTATGTGGCCCTGTACGTATAGCACCCCTCTAGAAACGTTGGAACAATCCAAAAGTAGCTGCAATTTTATCAAATTCGGACGGAGCAAATACAAAGGAAAAGCTCCTATAAGACAGCAAAAGAGGTTGAGTTTCGTTTTACATTCAATCTGAAATTTAATTCCGAAGGCATTAATCAACAGTATATGTT